TGTTTCTGATTAAATAAAGCAGTAATTGATACCATAAAATCATGAGTAGCCTATATTTTGATTTAAAGCTATAGCTTCCATAAAACAACACAAAAAAAAAACACGACACTTTAAATAATTGTACATATACTTGATTTATTATTGTGTAATATGGTATATTTTTTAAACAAATTATGAACTCTTTTGCTTTAGACCATTTACAAATGTTAAATCTTAAAATAAAATGTTAAGGTTACAACTGCATCTTTCTGGGGAAAAAAATGCAGCGATCGAATTTAGTTTATTTATTTTCAAATCTTCATTGTATTGTCATTATAAAATAACTTTGTTATTGTTTATTTAATTCTAACAAATAAGTTCTTGTTAAAAACTCACCAAATTGAAAAATAGTTTGCTTATTTCCGCACAGGAGAGACTTGGTGTTGTTTCCAAACAAAAGGAAATATATCGGCATCGGCCAAAATTAGTTGAAAAATATCGGCATATCGGCAAAAATCCAATATTGTGCATCCCTAGTTCATACAGTGCACCCAATGCCTCTGCACTTACTCATGATTTCTCTCAAGATGTGGACAGGAGAGCTGTCAGTCAATACATGGAAAACAAAGTAACTTGCATTACTTATTTGAAAAAGTAGCTCCGATATTTTCTTGTGAAGTAATACTTTACTAGTTACCTGAAAAAAGTAATCTGATTATGTAACTTGCGTTACCCCAACACTGCTTGTCTGACAGTATGGAGGGCAGTAACAGTCATTTGAGGACACAAATGCTTTCACCTGACTATTGTCTGCTGTGTAGTTCTTGTCATCCAGCAGCTTGCTTCCTCTGTGTGTTTGTGTATGTGGTTCAAGCCGAAGCGTTCAGAAATATTGCATTGACTCTCCACTCTGTCATACAGATCTGTGGATGATTTTGAGCCATTTCAGTCACATTAAGTCACATTTCATTTAGTCACATTTCATTCCCACATGTGGGAAGTTGTGGCCTAATGGTTAGAGAGTCGGACTCGTAACCCAAAGGTTGCGGGTTCGAGTCTCATACCGGCAGGGATTGTAGGTGGGGGGAGTGAATGTACAACGCTCCCCGTGCGCCGCAGCAAAAAATGGCTGCCCACTGATCCGGGTGTGTGTTCATGGTGTGTGTGTTCACTGCTGTGTGTGTGCACTTTGGATGGGATAAATGCAGAGCACTAATTCCGAGTATGGGTCACCATACTTGGCCACATGTCACTTCACTTCACTTAACTGGTTGGAGGTGTTACAGTAAGTGCTTTACTGAAAACAGCCTCAGTCTTATCACGGTGTGTATTTATTGTATCTTCTGCTGATGTAAATGACTTTTGTGGTGTCTGTTCTGAGTAAAAATGATCCTCTCTGTTTTTGTTGTCAGTGCGGGTCCTAAAGGAGACAACATCTACGAGTGGAGGTCCACTATCCTGGGTCCTCCAGGTTCAGTGTATGAGGGAGGAGTGTTCTTCCTGGACATCGCTTTCACTCCAGACTACCCCTTCAAGCCACCCAAGGTCAGAGCTCGCTCTCAGATAGTCACAGTTAGTGTGTGGGATGGACAGCCATATTCACTTATAAACTACCATTTAGGGTTAGGGATCTGTAAGATTTAATTTCATTTTTTTTTAATTAATACATTTATTAAGCAAGGAGGCATTAAATCGATCAAAAGTGACAGTGAGGACATTTAGAATGTTACGATTAAGATTCTATTTCAAACAAATGCTGTCCTTTTGAATGTTTAATTCATCTAAAATTACTGAAAATGTATTGTTTTCCACCTAAATATGAAGCAGCACAACTGTTTTTGACCTTGATGATAAGAAGTAATGTTTCTTAAGTAGCAAATCGGCATATTAGAATGATTTCTGAAGGATCATGAGTAATGATGCTGAAAATTCAGCTTTGATCACAGCAAGAAATTACATTTTAACAGATATATTCACATAGAAAACAGCTGTTTTAAATTCTAATAATTATAATTTAACTTTTTCTGTAATGACTACGATATTGATACTTTCATTTTTGGTACTTGCAGATGCCAGTTATTGATACCTGTATTTTCATTGCTTTTGTCATTTTTTAAAAACGTTGGGTAAAGAAATCGAAAGAATATGAACGGCCTAATAGTTGGTCTAATTGGTAACACTTTAGTATAGGGACCAGTTCTCACTATTAACTAGTTACTTGTTAGCATGCCTATTAATAACATATTGGCTTTTTATTAGTACTTATAAAGCACATGTTCTGCATAACCATATTCTACATCCATAATCCTACCCAATACCTAAATTTAACAACTACCTTACTAGCTATTCATAAGCAGCAAATTAGAGCAGTTTGAGTTTATTTAATAGCGAGAATTGGACCTTAAAATAAAATGTGACCATCTAATTTGTTTAGCAAAGTTCTTTTCACACTTCATTATGCCTGGTAAAATGCACAAGCTTCTGTTACTTTCACTGTTCATTCTGTTGCTTAGTCATATGGTATCATTCAATTAATTTTACAGCACACAACACACAAGTTCAGTATAGGGCCGATACTGGTATTCCTAGTTATATACATATACTACATACCAGGTGTGGCACTCAGATTGCCCTGTTCATGCTACAGCAGACAGAAATATTTATAACTATTGTGACCGTTAACAATAATGAGTATAAAAGCTTCGTATCATGTCTTTTAAGAATTGAAGTATTATGAGATGGGTAGTTTTGACACTAAATGCCGATTGAATGAGCCCTGTTGAAAGCTGCTGTCAAATGCATATAAACACACCTAAACTACACATTCAGTATCTTTTGTCGTCTTGCGTAACTGTTTTACATTCCAGGACAGACTCATTATGAATATGTGGTTTAAAAAAAAAAAGGCTCTTTTTTTCACTTTCAAAATTTGGTTGTGACTCGTAATCTTTCAGATTTCAGATTAGATCGTTTTGATTATAAAATGGTTCAACCAACAAACAAATGAATTATAAAATAAAAAAACTATTGTGATTAGATGAGCTGAGGATTTTCAGTGTGATAATACACGGATCTCTGTGATAATGGACACAAGAGCTTCTTAAAGGGATAGTTCACCCAAAAATGAAAATTCTGTCATTGATTACTCGCCCTCATGTCGTTCTAAACCCGTAAGACCTTCGTTCATCTTCAGAACACAAATTAAGATATTTCTGCAGAAATCTGAGAGCTCTCTGACGCTCCCATAGACAGCAAGGATCCTTACACGATCAAGGCTCAGAAACGTAGCAAGGACATCGTTAAAATAATCCACGTGACATCAGGGGTTCAACCGTAATATTACGAAGCTACGAGAATACTTTTTGTGCGCAAAGAAAACAAAAATAATGACTTTATTCAACAATTCGTCTCATCCGCGTCACCATATAGCACCATTTTGGAGAGCATCACATACGTAAGCAACGTATGTACGCGGATACGTTAGTTTACGTTCGGATCAAAGCATAAACAACATAAACAGCGTGTGATGCAGCTGACACAGAACAGCATACACTGTTTACGTATGTGATACTCTCCTAAAATGTCGCTATATGGTGACGCGGAGGAGACGAATTGTTGAATAAAGTCATTATTTTAGTTTTCTTTGCGCAGAAAAAGTATTCTCGTAGCTTCGTAATATTACGGTTGAACCCCTGATGTCACGTGGATTATTTTAACGATGTCCTTGCTACGTTTCTGAGCCTTGATCGTGTAAGGATCCTTGCTGTCTACGGGAGGATCAGAGAGCTCAGATTTCTTCAGAAATATATTTAATTTGTTTCGAAGATGAACGAAGGTCTTACGGGTTTAGAACGACATGAGGGTGAGTAATCAATGACAGAATTTTCATTTTTGGGTGAACCATCCCTTTAAGATTCTCCTAACGACTCTTGCTGTGTTGTGGTGTGTCAGGTGACGTTTCGCACGAGAATCTACCACTGCAACATCAACAGTCAGGGTGTGATCTGTCTGGACATCCTGAAGGACAACTGGAGCCCGGCGCTCACCGTCTCCAAAGTGCTGCTGTCCATCTGCTCTCTCCTCACAGACTGTAACCCTGGTAAGACGCTGGTGTGATCGAGCCGGTCGAGGGCTGGAGCTCCAGTGTTTGTCAGTATGCTGGAGCTCCACCTGTTTGACCGAGACGACAGCAGAGCAGTTACAGGTGTGAGCATCGATACAGCCGCCTCATGCTCATGTATGAAACTGCGCACAAATCTCTCTGTTCATCTAGTGTCTGAGCAATTTGAATTCCTTATATGGCAAATGGTCGTAAAAAGGCGACGATTTTCTCGCAGGCTGAGCCCTGAATGCATGTACTTACTGTATTTTGCAGAAATATTTTGCTACGTTTATACTAGTGCATTTTGGTATTAAAGTCCCCCTATTATGGGCAATGAAAGGTTCATATTTTGGTTTTGGGAGTCCTCAACAACAGGTTGACATGCATGCAGGGTCAAAAAACACTTTCATTGTCTTATAATATGCATTTATTTTTACCTTACTTGCTCAATGACTCCCAAACGATTCGCTCAACAATTCATTTTTCCAAACTCCTCCTTTGCGTGACGCTAATCTGCGGTGATTGGTCCGATTGGTCTCATTTTCATTGCATCTCACCTGTAATGCCCGATAAAGCAGTGTTTGTGAGCGCAGTGCTGCTTTGTGTTCAGCGTTACCGGGGAAACCACTATTTTTGCTCAACGACTCCCAAACGATTCGCTCCACAATTCCTTTTTCCCAACTCCTCCTTTGCGTGACGCTAATCTGCGGTGATTGGTCCGATTGGTCTCATTTTCATTGCATCTCACCTGTAATGCCCGATAAAGCAGTGTTTGTGAGCGCAGTGCTGCTTTGTGTTCAGCGTTACCGGGGAAACCACTATTTCTACCGCTCCAGAATGGAACCTAGTGGCAAAGAATGAATTTGCATTTTATTTCAGGCCAACGCGAAAAGACCAACAAGTGGGCGAGCAATATGCCAATGTTTCATGTTGCTGTCAACATGAAACGGCTTGGGATTCGTTTTAAAAACGACTTGTTTCAATGATTCAGAGTCGACTCTTTCTTTTGAGAGACAATAACTTTATACACGGTGCACTTTCAGATTTAAAACTTTGCAGGATGTTTTCATTCACTTAGAGCTGTTACACACTGCATCAAAGGTCATTTTCAAAAATCCATATCAGGGGCACTTTAAAACACATAACTTTTGTTAGGGCTACGCCTATTGCTTACACTACTCCGGCATTTTCGACCCTCAAAAACTGAGACTTTTGGAAACGCTGCAGACACGTTTCAGTGTAAACAAACCAAAACAGAGACTTTTGGAAACGCTGGCAGGGCTGCCCACAATAGCTCTGTGTATCCTTGATGACCGTATAAACAATAGCATCATGCTCATTGTTGTAAGCATAGATATATATAGGTAGATGCCCCATTCTACCGCTCCAAGACACGTAGATGTGTCCGTAATCTAAATAATAGGGAATATACCCATACATATCCATGAATGGTCATGTGACGTGTTTTCGGTTGTGTAGTGTGGACGGAGATCGTTTCTGAAATGCAAGTGTAGACGAGGATAGTTTTAAAATGAAAACGCACTAGTGTAAACAAGGACTAAATATGTGTCGCACAAAATGGATGGAATACACCACATGACTTTTAAAATCTGAACAGATTTTAAAACACTGGCCAATATTAGGGCTGGGTGGAAAAAAAATATTGATTTCTCGTTTTTCTTTTATTTTTTATGAAATTATATTTATTCTTTGATCCCAAGAAACAATTAGTCTAGCCTGTTTTCAGTTAATTAACAGAACATTGTTGCACACATCCCATCCAATAAATCGCAATAAGCTTTGTGCTTTGTTACTTTTGATATGAAGCAAAATCTCAGATTTCAAATTCTGTCCGTTTTATTGCAATATTCAAAACAATAAATACCTCTTTGGCGCTTTAATACCGCTTTAATACAAACCGTTTCAGTGCAAAATAAACATGAATGAACATCTGAAGGCATTTAAAAGAGTACAACTTACTGAAATCGTATCCTGTTAATATAAATTAACAGCTTGTAAACAATGTCACGTAACGTCACATTTACCTCAGAAAAAAACATATTCGGTGACTATAAACTCATTAGTCAGCTAGAAAAATAAACTCTAGAGAGGAGAATTTGGCTAAATATATGCACCTTATAGCATATTCATTATTTGTACTGTTCTTCAATATTTAATTAGTTTGAATAAAAATATTTATCTTTCAAAAAACTAATATATATATATTTTACAGCATTAGTTGAGGTTTATTTTCCTAGAGAAAATTCGCCATGTACTGTACCGGATATATATCTAAAATAATCAATATTAAATCTGAATCGAATCACAAGCTTGTGAAGCAAAATCGAATTGAATAGTGAAATTTGTGTCACAGCCCTGCCCTAGCCATCATACACTTACTCATTTTGTAAATGGTCACAGAGGAAAAACTAGACATCATAAACGACTGAGGATCTCACACCACCAGACTTCGTTCCGGTCACCACAAACTCACGCAGAAACGAATTAAAACGGTATGTGTCCTAAAATTGGCTTAAAATATCAAACATGTTTGGTATCCTCCAACTGAATAGATTTATAGTCTGAAGCTAAAAAAATCTGAGTCGGCAACCATCATACATTATGCCATTGTCTTAATGAAATCTGTCGACTCTGACTTTCGGCTCAAAAATCTGAGCAAAAGTCACGTATTCCAGCCTCAAGTCACATCAATGTAAAAAATGTTTTTTTTTGTTAGTTCCCCTTACTCCACAACAAATGCTTTAAATGTAACCGTATTCTGAACAGAACAGGAATGAAAGATATTAGCATAAAACTAAGAAAGAAAGAAACCGCAAGCCTAAACCAATTTATTGAAAGTGAAAGTACTGAATTTGTGGGAGATGCGCTATCAAATGAAACTTGGGCTCACGTACCTCTCTGGTTTGGCACAGATCAACATTTTGCACGCTTTGCATGTCTCGCATGCTTGACTGTATTTGCATTTGTTACGTCCTGCATGAATCTAGGGGTATAAGCAGATGCAACAAAACAACAAATAATTTAAAGAGCGCTAGTCTGAGTCCTGCCACAGCACCACAAGCAACAAATTACCGTAAAGGTTTTCATTTGACAGCTCATGGAACAAATACAAAAGGTATATTAAAAATAAGAAAACCATTTAAAAGGGAAGCAATAGTTTCAGGAGAGGGCAAGGCCAAAATAACAAGCAAAACAATCTAACTAGATAATTTAAGCCTTTAACTAATCTAACAAAGAAAAGAAAAATAACAACAGGTTTGTATCCTAACTCCCGTCCTGGCCCCAAAACAGGAGAAAACAGGGTTCAACAAAAATGGCACCCACCTCCCTACCTACAACTTCCAAATAAACCAAATAGTAATAAACAAGTTTGTAAGCAACAGGCTGGGTGGGTTTTTTGCTTTTATGCTGGCTCACTCTTAACTGGTAAGCAGGTGCAGCTGGGGGCTAACAGCTACCTGCCTGACAGATTGAGTAGGAGGAGCCAAAGGGTTAACAGAGAAAGAAGCACAGCTTTTCTGATAAATCATAACAATAAAGACAGCGTCTCTAGACGTAACACATTATGCAGCATGAGAAAGAAATGCAACTTGTATTCTGGAAAATACATTTCATTCATTGCTGAAAGGGTTGCTTCAAATGCAATATATATTTCATATGGATATTCACCCAAAAGTGTTTTTGTGTTTATTATTGCAGTATTGTGTATTTAACTTATTTGCGTGCGCATGAATTAAAGTCAATGGAACACAAAGTAGCTGATGAAGCGAAGCGTGCAGTATATAGTGCGCTGTATAGCTGCTGCCTGTGAAGAGCATTTCAAATGAATTCAGTTCAGTCACTTGAGGTTCCTTTGTAGCGAGAGAACCTAAAGCCCAAAGTGCACTTCAGTTTTTATGCGTACAGTGTGCGACACAAACATTATCATGAACTGCCTGTTATTTTTTATTTTGTACTGTTCTCTGAAGTCCACTTATATATCCAGATTTTTACATCAAAAAACATCAATTTAGAAGTAATAAGTTATTTTCTGTCCTGTTTTTTGACCCCCCTCATCAGAACGCTCTGTAACCGGTGTTAACTAGTAGGTGTGTTCGACTTGACGCGGACCGACTGTGCAGACCGATCGGTGTATTACAGTACCACGCTTTCGAGTCGCTCTCGCGGATGATCGATCTGCGCCGCACCTCTTCTAGTCGAACACACCGGCTAGTGCTGCAGGCTTATTGGCTCACTGACACTGATGAGATTAACCCCTTAGGTGTCGAAATTTGGTACCGAACGACGAGACGTTTTTCGATACTCGATGGTATCGAGGCAATTCGGTCGGTGCCTAAAAAGTATCGAACTCTATACCCAGCCCAACTGTGGAGGCGGAGCTTATCCACACTATTACATCATAGAGTAGAACATTCCACAAGCTGTGGTTTTGGCCTTCAATACAAGTTGTTTTTAGACTAACAACAAAGTTTCGAGTTCTTAAACTTACAGGATGTTTTTATAGTGCAGTGACCTCTTATATGGCAAAAGATCAAGGGAATTTTGATTTCTCAGTTCATGACCCCTTTAACTTTGTGTGTGTTGACTGTAGATAGCAGCTGATTGTGTTTTTAACCTGGTGAATCGTGTCTTCTTCTGCAGCTGATCCTCTGGTAGGAAGCATCGCCACGCAGTACACAACCAACAGACCTGAGCACGACAGGATAGCCAAACAGTGGACCAAACGCTACGCCACATAATTCCTCCGGCCGCGGAGCGCCGCTGCCTGCCGAACGTCTGTGGGATGGGGAGGAGCTGTGGGAGGAAATGGGGATCCGTAGGGTAGAGATACAGGGTGGGTTTTATGATGGAATTTTTCTTTCCCTGCATTAATTTTTTGTTGTTGTGTTTGTTTCCCTTGGCTCAAGTAGCATCATGATTTGACAAAAATGGATCTTAATGTGCGTTTTCTTTGCCTTCCTGTTGTAAATTGGTTTTATTTGGAGCTTCCTCGTTCTTGTCAAATGAAGTCACAGCATGAGCCTATGGTAGGATTGTTCCATGTATGCATTTCCCCACCAATATTAAAGTTGACGTTGGTGTACAGAGTCGTGCCGTATGTTTCAGTGCAAGCATTCAGAGGGAAACACTGATGTTATATTTCTGGGAAAAGCCCGTCAGGAACATCTTAAGAAAATATATCAAGGACTTTTCTGCTTTGTGAAATCTCATTCTCATTACAGTAATGCAGATACAAAATTTAATTATGTATACATCACAGTAGTATTTGTCTTGCTGTTTACATTTATGCTGATTATAACAAGAATGAGGGTTCTTATTATGGTAAGGAGAGTTGCGCATTCATTGCCATGAAAATCATGATGCAGTGGTTCTGAAATGGGCTTTGTTTACTTAATGGAAAATATAAGTTGATTTCTTTTGATTTTGGAATGAAATATGACAAGATTTGTGAACAAAAATTCCAAACTGGTATTATGTTGACTAGGATGATGAATAGCTCACAACACAATGTGCATTAATCTGATTTTACAGAAGACTCTTGCCCAATATTACAGCATGTTGATATCAGCAAACGGAAATAAAAGTCAAAAACAGTCCATCCAGTCAATAAACGTTTATTTGGTTAAATCAGCCATTACATGGTGTAAACACAGTATGTCTTCATTTAAATATCTTTCGTATAAATTAGAACACGCTAATAAGACAAGGATTGCACAAATATCTGTTGATAGCTGCTGGAGTTCTCCTCTACTTACTGTAGCATCCATATAGTGTTCTCCTGTGGACTAGAGTTCAGTTGTGTTTAAAGCAACAGCCGACACAAACACGGCCTACAGGCTTCATCTCACTGACTTCACTGACATTATAGCTTTGGGTTTCTAACGCTTTGAGAAGAAATGGAAAGAACAGCTGATCTAAGATTATAGTTAGTTTTGGAAATAATGCCGGAAGACATCATCATACACACACTGTATGACTTTAACATAACAGTATTGCCGTGTTTTTATTAACTGGCACCTTAATGCACTTCATGCCAGTTCTTGACTGAAGTTCACATCTGAAGGACAGAAGAAGCACTTAAATGGTCCATTTTCTCTCTCTACTGTACCATTATATCATTTTGAATAAATGCAACTACTGATTCTCATGCCCAGGTCATCGGTCAAAATAAAGTATTTTAAAAAACAAATTATATTTGCATAAATAAATGAAGCCTATAATGTCAAAAGACATTTATATAACATTTCAAATTGTAAAATACAGTATTGTTATTGAATTAATGAGAACCATAATGATAGTTACAAAAACTATTGGTCTAATAAAAATCCTACCTGTCCAAAAAAAGGGGACAAAATTCTTCTTCTTCATTCTGGTGATTTGTCTTGACTAGTCATTCACTGCAGCCTGATGACAAAAAGAGAGTAATTCTCAGCTTCTGTGACTGACTATTATAGTGAGCTGAGCACAGTGAGTGTTGTGCATCATATGTTCAACCGTTTTCCCATCAGTGAGCACAAATGCAACCAAAGAAATGATTAGTGCATTTAAATAGATTTAGTCCTGGCCACGTCCTGATCCACCTGCCTCTGCTCGTGCAGGTCACACTTATTCCCCAGCACCATCACCTGCGCACACACACACACACACACACAGTGAGGACATCTGCTCACACCACACACCAGCAATCATCCGGAGCAGCATCATGTGTTACTTAAAAATAAAAACAAAATTATTATTATTGTAGAATCTTTGTAATTCTTAACGTTTTAAAAAAATAATCAGATGTATTTTCTTTTTTAATATTACATATCTATCTATATACAGTACTTGTCGAAAGTTTGGAAACATGATTTTTGAATGTTTTTAATGAAGTCTCTTATGCTCATAAGCCTGCAATTATTTGATCAGAAATACAGTAAAACAGCAATATTATGAAATAGCGATGCACGATATTGGATTTTTGCCGATATCCGATATTTTTCAACTCATTTTGGCCGAGAGCCGATACCGATCTATTTCCTTTTGTTTGGAAACAACACCAAAGTCTCTCCTGTGCAGAAATAATAAGCAAATTATTTTTAATTTTGGTTAGTTTTTATGACAGTACATTGAAGATTTGAAAATAACTATAAAAAAAACTATAGTCAATCAATGATTAGCCTTAACGTTTTATTTTAAGATTTAACATTTGTAAATAGTCTAAAGCAAAAGAGTTGTAAAAATTCTGACAATCTTACATATTACACACATGCACAACATATTACACATTAATGAATAAATCAGTATATATAAAACTATTTAATTTAAGTGACATGTTTGTGTTGTTGTTTTTTTGTTTTTTTGTTCATGTAAGCTATAGGTTCTGAACTTTAAATCAAAACATACTCATTATTTTATGGCATCAATTACTGCTTTATTTAATCAGAAACACAGTCTAAATATTATTTGGTGTATTTTACTTAAATTTTATTAGAAGTAGGCCAACAGCGCCCCCTACAGATTAAAATGCCTTACTGAGCGGCATTAGGACCCGGGGGAGGCTATTATACACCGAGCGTGTCATTCATTTACATTTAAAACCATTATCGGCCGATTCCTATATCGGTGCGATAATATCGTGCATCATTATTATGAAATATTACAATCTGAAATAACTTTTCTTTTTATTATCTTTCAAAAGTCATTCTAATATGCTGATTTGCTGCTTATTCATATTACTATTCATTTTAAAATAAAAAAAGTTAATGTTTTTGCTGCTTAATATTTTGTGTAAACATTTTTCTGTATTCTTTGATGAATAGAAAGTTCAAAAGAACAGGTTTTGAAATAAAATCTTTCGTAACATTTTAAATGTTTTCACTGTTTCTTTTGATCAATTGAGCATGTTTGCTGAATAAAAACATTAATTTATTTTAAAAAACAATTTTCAGCATCATTCCTCCAGTCTTCAGTGTCACATGATCCTTCAGAAATCATTCTAATATGCTGATTTGCTGCTCAAGAAACATTTATTATTATTTGTATTAATATTTAAATCAGTTGAGTACATTTTTTTCAGGATTATTTGATGAATAGAAAGTTCAGAAGATCAGCATTTATCTGAAATAAAAAGCTTTTGTAACATTATACACTAAACCATTCAAAAGCTTGGAGTCAGTATAATTTTTTTTTCTTTTGGGAAAGAAATAATAAAAATGAATACTTTCATTTAGCAAGGATGCTTTAAATTGATCAAAGGTGAGAATAAAGACAATGTTATAAGATATTTCTATTTCAGATAAATGCGGTTCTTCTGAACTTTCTATTCATCAAAGAAACCTGAAAAAATTCTACTCTGCTGTTTTCAACATAATAATAATATTAATAAATGTTTTTTGAGCAGCAAATCAGAATATTAGAATGATTTCTGAAGGATCATGTGACTGGAGTAGTGATGCTAAAGATTCAGCTTTGAAATCACAGGAATAAATTACATTTTGAAATATATTCAAATATAAATCCATTTAAAATATTTCAACATTTTACTGTTTTTGCTGTATTTTGGATCAAATAAATGCAGGCTCGGTGAGCAGAAGAGAATTTTTCAAAAACATAAAAAATCTTATATTTGTTGAGATAGTGAATTGGTGGGTTTTTGTTAAATGTGAGCCAAAATCATCACAATTAAAAGAACCAAAGACTTAAACTACTTCAGTCTGTGTGCATTGAATTTATTTAATACACAAGTTTCACAATTTGAGTTGAATTACTGAAATAAATGAACTTTTCCACGACATTCTAATTTATTGAGATGCACCTGTATATATAATTACAGGGTGAAATTTGGCATGTTATTGACAGATTTGTGGCTCTCAACTCAATGGGCTAATTTGAAATATTCTTTCATGCCTCTTCTTTGTCTCTGGACTTGTCTATCTCCTTCTTCAAGAGCTCGACTCTTCTGAAGGACTCCAGGCTGTCGACGCTGTAGACCAGCACGAATCCGTCCACCGCTGAGAAGAAGTGTTTGGGTAAATCCTGCCCCTCTCGCAGACCTCGAGTGTTGTAGAGGCGTAACTGCTCCCTCACGTCTCCACAGTATATGTCTCTGCACCTGACACCAGACAGACACTATTCATTCTTTTGTGAATGAAGCACATGCCAGGATGCTTTCTAATATGACTGCTTGATCCATACAATCTGGACAATTGAATAACTGATTCAAATGATCAGTCTTGATCTGTTACGTGCCAGTGTCAAGCAGAAATATTTATTTCACAGAAATTACATCTATATATTTTTTACACAAAAATAATAAACTATTACTAAAAATTCCACTGCAACCCATGCATATGTTGAAAAGGCATACAATGTATTAATGTACGCAGTCTATTAACTGACAAACAACCATTTATTATTAACAAATAAACAAATGAATATTCGGTATATTACAGTTTTATTCCTAATTGTAATGTTTGTGATATTTTATCAAAATGTGAGGTGATTAAATCATATGCATACAAACATAGAAATATTCTAATTAATGTATATTTAATAACATCTAATGATGAATAATGCAATAATAAAAAAAGAGGAGAGAGAAAACAGCATAAAGAATGAAGAACAGCAAATAAAGCCACAGTCTGTGAAAATCAATAAGCTAAATGCAGTGTAATTGTTAGAATACTCAGCAGCATTTCTATCTCTTTTGGCCTCATAAATAAAATGTTTTTTTTGTTTAGTTTTTTCTAATTAGACTGTATTTCATTATCTGTATTTTATCATGAGTATCTATTAGGGATGCACTATATTGGATTTCTGCCGATATCCGATATTTTTCAACTAATTTTGGCCGATAACCGATGCCGATATATTTCCTTTTGTTTGGAAACAACACCAAGTCTCTCCTGTGCGGAAATAAGCAAATTATTTTTCATTTTGGTGAGTTTTTAACAAGAACTTATTTGTTAGAATTAAATTAACAATAACGAAGTTATTTTACAATACAATGAAGATTTGAAAATAAATAAACTAAATTCAATCGCTGCATTTGTTTTCCAGAAAGATGCAGTTGTAACCTTAACATTTTATTTTAAGATTTAACATTTGTAAATGGTCTAAAGCAAAAGAGTTCATAATTTGTTTGAAAAATATAACATATTATGCATAAATGAATAAATCAGTATATATACAATTATTTCATTTAAGTGCCGTGTTTGTTGTTGTTGTTGTTGTTTTCTTGTAAGCTATAGCTTCTGACCTTTAATGATTGTATGGCATCAATTACTGCTTTATTTAATCAGAAACACAGTCTAAATATTATTTGTGTATATTGCTTTCCTTTTATTAGAAGTAGGCCAACAGCGCCCCCTACAGATTAAAACTCCTTACCGTTACACTGTCGCACACCGAACTTTCACAGATTACATGCAGCGATCCAAAACCGTGAATCCGATCACCATTCAGGCAAAACATTGCTTCAAGAACGAGCCACACTGCTGACGTGATCTAATCACTAGCACACCCTGAGCACATGTGAGTTAACATATTCATCTTATCTGCATAATTTTTCATATCGGGCTGATGCCGATATTTATATTTAAAGCCATTATCGGCCGATTCCGATATCGGTCCGATAATATCGTGCATCCCTAATATCTATAATGCTCACTGAGCCTGGTTCTGTCTGACAATATATAGAGAGTGCTAGTTATGTATGTTATGAGTTATATACACATAAATACATACAATAAATTCACACTTGCATCAAGTCTTGCATTATATCTCCTACATATAAATACATATCTATAATGTCACTTGGCACAACACCTGTGTCCTGTGAATGGCCTGATCACACATACCTACAGTGTGAGAGGCGTACAGTAACTGCTCCAGGACGGCTGTTTTCCCCACAGACGCCATCCCACAAACCACCACCTTACACCCCTTCCCCATAATCACTGCTGCCCTCAAACAAGCAAACAAACAACACGTCAAGTGGCCAGAGCCAACCAGACAGATATATTCAAAATTATATGTACAGCGGGGTTCAAAGGTGACTGAGACTACTCGTTAAAATAGAAAAAAATAATGTAAAACCAAACATTCATTGCATATATTATATTAATAATTACAGAAATTGACAAAAGCTGATGCACATGCTCTCCAGGAAGATACAGAGCATCTTCAAAGGTGCATATCGCACCTACTGTGATGGAGTGTGAAAAGAATGAACAAACCCTCCTATATCCTATTATATAACCCACTATTCTTAATAAACCTCATGACTGCATCTATCTGTTTTCCTGAATTTGGACCGTCACTTAATAAGCTGCAGATGAATCTCAATACAAGACTTTCACTTGGTCACTTCTTCTTCTCCCTCTCGGAGTCGGATAAGAGAAGGGCCAAAGCATATGATTTAGTCTGAAGTTTAAGAAGAAATATGTTGAAACGCAGTGTATGTAGTTGGTTAAATACATTTGATGGTTTAAAGGGATAGTGCACCCAAAAATGACAATTCTGTCATTACTTATTCACCCCCGTGTCGTTCCAAACCCGTATAAGTTGCTTTCTTATGTTGAACACAAAAGAAGATATGTTGAAGATTGCTGGTAATCACACAGTTGGTGGTTGCCATTGACTTCCATCGTATTTTTTGTTCCTACTACCACCGACTGTGTGATTACCAGCAATCTTCAACAGATCTTCTTTTGTGTTCAACATAAGAAAGCAGCTCAGACGGGTTTGGAACGACACAGGGGTGAATAAATGATGACAGACTTGTCATTTTTGGGTGAACTATCCCTTTAAGTTAAAATCACATTCGTAGTTACAGACTACGTTTCCCAGAAGTCTTTAACAACCGGAACCGGAAATTCGACGGTAGGAACGGCCTCATAAAGCATTATGGGGAAGTGATCTCTCTCTTTCCGGTTGGTACTCCATCAAGTAAGCGAGGCTTTCTCAGTTTTCTGACTAGAATCCATCAGGAATCTTAGCGCGTGTAAAGTCATCCGAGGCACACGAGCGGGGTGTTTAGTGCGCAGCGTCTCAGCTTTACTCTCCCTCCGGTATTTCCGCCGTAACGGTGTTGTTCGGGCACTTTAAAGCGGAATTGTGAAGCGTAGTGTTGCTAATGTCACGCCGGAGTCTGCACGGTTCTGTCAAACCTGAACGACACCTCATTAATTATCAAAAGTCATGTTCGGGAATTACATGTGTTAAGCTTGTTTAAATCATCGTCCGTGGCTCGCGCGTTGAATTGTTTAGCTGTGTCTGTATAGTCCCCGTGTCCTAGCTACATAACACACCGCTACTGGGCGCACAGTGTTAGCACTTAGCACAGTGTTAGCACCTAGCACAGCCGTGTTGTGTCTAGATATCAGATAATATACTCATAATAATCTCGCATTCATACACGCGTGCTGGCCAGAGCCGGGTCTGTGGCCGGCCGTCAAGCTACACGGACAGCCAGTTCAAGCGAGACTATCTGTCCGTTTAAGACGAAGTGCAGAACTGGTTTAAGTTTAGCCTGCCTTAATTCATTCAAATCAGTTTTGTGATTTGTAGTATTAATAAAGATGTAGAAGTTCCATAAATTACAATAACCTATTTATCACTACATCCCTACAACTTTATCTTCTGTTCTATTCATATTCTATTGTATCTTTTTTGTGTGTGGTTTATTCACATGCTATTTTATTGTCTGTGTCTCTGCTGGAAGCTTGAGACACTAAAACAAGTTCCTTGTATGTGCAAACATGCTTGGCAATAAAGCGCTTTCTGAGAAGTCTGCACACGTGCGGTTAAAAAGAGTAAAATGCAGTGTATAATAGTTTTAGATGCAACTCAAGAAAGTGTCAGCGGTCAGAATGCATGTGGTGCATGGCTGGTCTATGCCTGTAGTTGTCTGGCGCTGCGCTCAAAGAAGATATGTTGAAGATTGCTGGTAATCACACAGTCGGTGGTAGTAGGAACAAAAAATACGATGGAAGTCAATGGCAACCACCAACTGTGTGATTACCAGCAATCTTCAACAGATCTTCTTTTGTGTTCAACATAAGAAAGCAGCTCAGACGGGTTTGGAACGACACAGGGGTGAATAAATGATGACAGACTTGTCATTTTTGGGTGAACTATCCCTTTAAGTTAAAATCACATTCGTAGTTACAGACTACGTTTCCCAGAAGTCTTTAACAACCGGAACCGGAAATTCGACGGTAGGAACGGCCTCATAAAGCATTATGGGGAAGTGATCTCTCTCTTTCCGGTTGGTACTCCATCAAGTAAGCGAGGCTTTCTCAGTTTTCTGACTAGAATCCATCAGGAATCTTAGCGCGTGTAAAGTCATCCGAGGCACACGAGCGGGGTGTTTAGTGCGCAGCGTCTCAGCTTTACTCTCCCTCCGGTATTTCCGCCGTAACGGTGTTGTTCGGGCACTTTAAAGCGGAATTGTGAAGCGTAGTGTTGCTAATGTCACGCCGGAGTCTGCACGGTTCTGTCAAACCTGAACGACACCTCATTAATTATCAAAAGTCATGTTCGGGAATTACATGTGTTAAGCTTGTTTAAATCATCGTCCGTGGCTCGAGCGTTGAATTGTTTAGCTGTGTCTGTATAGTCCCCGTGTCCTAGCTACATAACACACCGCTACTGGGCGCACAGTGTTAGCACTTAGCACAGTGTTAGCACCTAGCACAGCCGTGTTGTGTCTAGATATCAGATAATATACTCATAATAATCTCGCATTCATACACGCGTGCTGGCCAGAGCCGGGTCTGTGGCCGGCCGTCAAGCTACACGGACAGCCAGTTCAAGCGAGACTATCTGTCCGTTTAAGACGAAGTGCAGAACTGGTTTAAGTTTAGCCTGCCTTAATTCATTCAAATCAGTTTTGTGATTTGTAGTATTAATAAAGATGTAGAAGTTCCATAAATTACAATAACCTATTTATCACTACATCCCTACAACTTTATCTTCTGTTCTATTCATATTCTATTGTATCTTTTTTGTGTGTGGTTTATTCACATGCTATTTTATTGTCTGTGTCTCTGCTGGAAGCTTGAGACACTAAAACAAGTTCCTTGTATGTGCAAACATGCTTGGCAATAAAGCGCTTTCTGAGAAGTCTGCACACGTGCGGTTAAAAAGAGTAAAATGCAGTGTATAATAGTTTTAGATGCAACTCAAGAAAGTGTCAGCGGTCAGAATGCATGTGGTGCATGGCTGGTCTATGCCTGTAGTTGTCTGGCGCTGCGCTCTTGGTGTGGGTGCTGACCTGGTGTTTGCTGCTGCAGGTGAGGCATCATGGGAGCGTACAAGTACATGCAGGAGCTGTGGAGGAAGAAGCAGTCGGACGTGATGAGGTTTCTGCTGCGCGTGCGGTGCTGGCAGTACCGCCAGCTGTCGGGCCTCCACCGGGCCCCGAGGCCCACCAGACCCGATAAAGCCCGCCGGCTGGGATACAAGGCCAAGCAGGGTGAGTGACGAGCTGCTTCACTATTTGTATAATGCACTAGCTATGTTTCCATCCAAAGATGCAAATTAAACTTATGCACAACTGGAATATCGCATAAAAACTTTGCACGGTCTCCATCCGAGAACACAATCATCACTTCCTGATAAACTGGCAGTAAATATCACTAAGAAGACTGGTTTGTCAAGCTATCCCGTCCCGTTGTGCAAAGTCACATGACTTTTTAAGTTGGCTTAAGAAAGCCAACTTACTGAAATGCTGTTTAAACAACTACTTCTTCTTCTGAGACTGACATTTCTGACCGCTACTCCTACCAGAGCTTTAACTCTACAAACGTCAAACTCAGCCCAGCTCTTCAGACTGATCTGACTCGGGTTGCTTTATCTTTTCAGACTGATCGGACTTACGGTTTTCCTAAAAATGAAGATTGAAAATCATAAAAATCCCATAGACTTGCATTGATGGAATGTTCAGATGAGCCCAGACTGTTCAAACTCCAGCTGATAGACATTCAAATGTAAACACCCTGAAGCCTTTAGACTCCATTAATCTGCCATTCTATGTACTATTTCTAACCAATTTAGACTCATTTAAGCAGAGAGAATGGATGGGTTTTTAGTTTGCACTCTGTGGGTGTTTTCAGCTTAGGTTGACATGGTCTGGGTCAACTCTTCAATGCATCAGGGACGTGGATGTGCCTATGACCTGGAGAGATCGTGATTTCTGCACAGACAGGCATGCTTGGTAAACACTGCGCTCTTAAGACCGATTCGGCAAGCTAATGTTTAGTTCCACCTGTTGGGTAACATAATTGTAATTTACTAACTGGTCAAAGCTCAGAAAACAGAGGCGAGGCCTGCTGGACTGTGGTCACTGTGTTTTTATTCTTCAAGCAGCACACATGGGAAGTCTTGTAGCAATCAATATAGTTTGATGTTGAACAAATTATGTGTCTAGTAACTGGTCACTGAACCCAGGCAAAAAAACAAAAACAAAAGTTCACTTCCACAATGTATTTAAAGTGCTCTATATTCATGCACTAATTTTGAACTTAATATACTATAAAACAAAAAAAAGTCCCGCACACTGCCAATACTTGCAAAAGTATCAAAAACAATGACAACGTTTCGGTCTCATCCGCTTCATCAGCATTTTCTTTAGTTTTTTGTTATTTTTGGTCTTTTTCTCCTACGCTCTTTTCTATTGCAAGGGCTGTATCACCAGCAAAGATATGATACGTATCACGATACAGAGGCCACAATACGATACGTATCACGATACAGAGGCCATAAATGAGCCTGCAACATGGTAAACTGAAACCACTCGGAGTTTGATGAGCAAAAACAGAAGTTATTTTACAAGAATCATCAGGTTGCAACAAGACAATAGGCTAGCACTAAGGGGGAACTTTAATAGCCACATTTATAATAAAATTAACTCGAACCATACGCATCTATTATAGTATAACTGCTCAATTATTAATTATTTATTGATTTAATGATTAATGCATTATGAAAATATTTTACAAATTAAGTTTAACAATTTGAATCTAATTAATGACAGGGTGCTGCGATTAATCTAATTAATGGCAAACTACATTTGGCTGTGAAAATACCCCCAACTGATCATTTAAAGCTATTGTGTTATGTTTAGGCTACAAACATGGGCCTAACAAAGTATGGAACAAAAAAATCATTTGAGTAACATCTCAGTATTTTTGTTCATGCAATGAAAGTCACTAGTGACCAAAACGGCTTAGTTATTATAAACAGCATTCAAAATACCTTTTTTTTATTTTTATAAATGTTGTGCAAAAGTCATTCAGGTGAAGCAACATGAGGGCGAGTAAATTACAGAATTTATTTATTATTTTTTGGTGAACTCTCCCTTTGTTCCCTGTACTTTTTTTTTTAAATAAACGTAATGATACTCTAAAGAAGAAACTAAAATAACCAGCAGGTGGCGGTAAATGAATTGTGTTTAAAATATAGCACAATATTAACTTATTTACTGAACTGTTGTATAAAATCACATTTGCACTCGTGTGATATCACTTTTCATGTGATTATAAATGAGACAAACTCATACGGAGGCGTTTTTTTGCACCAATATCTTGAATTTTTAGGGCATAACTGCATGTATGTAGATGTTGCCCTACATATTCGTCAGCAGTCCACTGTATGAAATGTAAGATGACGCACAGGTCTGGGGGCGGGGCCAGTGCGTTATCTGCTTTAAAATATTTGAATCACGTTATTTTTTTAGAACTAATTAAGTTAATGCATTAAACTGACAGCCCTAAAATTAAATGAGGTCCCCCTGCACTGACTTTCTCCCATGTTGCCTCTCCATCCTAAACGTGCATGTCCTCAAGACTTCAATATTTTGATTTTTTTGCACCCTCAGATTCCAGATATTCAAATAGTTGTATCTCGGCCAAATATTGTCCTATCCTAGCAAACCATACATCAATGGAAAGATTATTTATTCAGCTTTCAGATGATGTATAACCTCCTGAGACCCAGCTATGGAGTTTTTGCCTCCGTAGTGGACATTATATCTTAGTGAATTTCTCTGAGACCTCACATGTCACAGTTTTAAGTCTGGATGTCCTGTACAGAGCACATTCAGGGCTTTTCAGAGATACTAAATGATTGGATGTTTCACCGAGAACACTCCCTCTCCTTGGTTTTTAAAAATGGCTGACATTAATTTAGTGATAGAATTGTACATCCTTATGGAAATATGATCATATTTTGTAATTATAATTTAAATCTGATTAATTTTCAAATTGTCATAAATCAACATCTCAGGAAAATGTTATGGGGTTTCAAATCAAAATATGACTTCCTGTTATGAAACAGGACATCATTTCATACATGTCCACTGTAGAGGACACCAGGACTAAAAGCATGTGTATTATACATTTTGGGAGACAAAAGAATTGAATCGGGGAAAAAAAATTATATATCAATATTCTTATGAAATACTAGACATTATAATGAAAATCTGGCCAATTAATACTCCCATTATTACACTTCTTTTTTCAACATGCTGTCCCAACAGCACTTTAATATGCAAATTAGATAGTGTATAGATAACATTGTGCTTAATGGGAAAACCAGTTTATGGAATTTTTACACATTGCATAAAGCAAAATGTTATATCAAATCATTTTATATATTTTATAACATAGTTGAGAACCATCCTTAAACAAAGTTAGTTAAAAAAAAATCCTGAAACCTAAAAACTGATTGGTGATTTTAAAAACTTCCCATTGTTTTTGCCTTTTCATGTCTACTCGTCATTTTATTTTTAGAAAAACAGTCCTGGAGTCCTCTATAGAGGACATATCATAACTTATGAATAAAATATCATTTTTCAAAAATTTTATTTTACCATATTTTTCTTATGCTCTAAACAATGTAGTTACAAGAAAAAATACTAAATTCACAAAGCTTTTTATTTCTGGTTCTCATCTCAATTTTGAAAAATGTACCCTTATGACTGGTTTTGTGGTCCAGGGTCACATATATAAGAAAAAATATTATAATAATAACCTTGCTACACTGTGTTAGGCTAACCGAGACTTGCATAAACGTCTGCTAAATGTAAAAAAAAAAATATCCTAGTGTATTACATGTATATTCAGTATTAATTATTTTTATTTATTTTTGTGGATCACCCCAAAAGGCTACCAAAAGATTTATGCTACTTCATGCCTCATTAGAAGCGTAAATGTCTCTGACTTGGAAGCCTGGTAAGATCCGGCTGCTGTGCACTTATCTTTCAGTATGACCGTATAAGCGGTGAAGTCTTATGTTAATAAATGAACCGAAACGTTGGTTGCACGTGATGCTGTGAATGTGTACTGCGCGTCGAGGTGTGGCTTGGGCTGTTCTTGCGGTGTGTGCAGCGGGCTCGCCGCGCCAGGCGTGTGTATTGACTGCGGGCTAGGCTCCAGACTCACGTGCACCGCGCAGCCGAGCCATGTGCGTCTGTGTTTACGCGTCCTGTGCGTCCGCTCTGATTGGTCGAGGGAAGGCGTGACGGGCGTGTTGTGTAGTTTGCATGGCGGTGTGGACGCGTCTGCAGCTGCTGAAACACGTGATGCGGCCGAGTCTGACCCACTCTGGGCTTTTGCGCTCGCAACGCGACACGCGGGGGCGGGGCTAAGGCGAGCCAATCATCAGCTCAGCGGCGCGACGTTCCTCCGTTTCCTTTTATTTGTAGAGAGGAATGCATATTTAAACATTTAAAACTCAAATATTTGGACTGAATTGAAAAAGGATTTACTTTCACTTGGATTTTTATTTTTATGTATTGTTGATATTTTTAAATATTTTCTTTAAGACGTTCAGACTATGTTTGCTTTTATTATTCTAGGACAAAAATAGTTTTGGCATGATTATTGTTTAATTTTATATATATATATATATACATATATATGCACACACACACACACATATATATATATATATATACACACACACACACACACACACGTGTGTGTGTGTGTGTATATATATATATATATATATATATATATATATATATATATGGCATATTGTTCGAAAAAAAGCTGTTTGTTAGTTCTCAGTATTACATTAGAGTCGTATTGTTTGCTGGTAAGGGCTACACCCTGAAAGAGGTATTATGTAACGGTGTTACCTAACCATTGGGAGTAGGGCAGCAGAAATCAGGTCAACCCGTACAGACAGAGCACATACAGCCTGGTCCACTTTCTGACAATAAGACCGGCTGCTGCTTGAAATAAGACACGGGGGCAAAGAAAACCTTTGTAATTTCATCAGTAAATATCCACCTATATGGACTGCATTTACTGTTTATATATTTGTTTTCTATTATCAATGATAAACACAATTGTCAGCAGATGCATGAAAAAGCTGGAATCAACCATGTCTCATTCTCATATGCTTTAGAATTTATATCTGCATATTAGGATCCACCTGATTTGGAAAATAATGAGTTGCTCTTCTGTGTGTCATCCAGCAGGTGGAGTGATAGCTTACATTAGCTCCGCGAGCTCGGCCTCCAGTCCCGAGTCGTGCCACAGCGACTCCTCCAACAGCAGCTATCAGTTCTGCTCTCCGCCCCACGCAGGGCAGGGCCAGCAGGGCGAGACCCTCGCTGTGGCCCCTCAGTCCCGCCCACGGAAGACACGGTCGCCCTCCGCAGCCAAAAGTGGCATTACAAGTGAGAGACTGATCTGAGTCAAAATAAAGACATCTGTGGAGTGTTTCATTCTGCGACTGATCACCTACACATACGACACATCTTATGGAACTATTTGAATACATATTACTCGTTTTCACATATATGTTGTCATAATGTAAATTAGTATATAATTAGTATGTCGTATAATTTGTATTAGTATGTACACTACCAGTTTTTAACAGTAATATTTCTAATGTTTTTTTAAAGAATTCTATTCTGCTCACCAAGCTTGCATTTATTTGATCCAAAATACAGGAAAAGCAGTAATATTCTGAAATATTTTTACTATTTAAAATAACTGCTTTCTATGTGAATATATTGATCACAGCAATAAATTACATTTTACGAAGCTGAATTTTCAGCATCATTACTCCAGTCTTCAGTGTCACATGATCCTTCAGAAATCACTCTAATATTCCTGAGCAGCTAATTGCTGCTCAGGAAACATTTATTGTTATTATCAATATTTTCAACATTTCAGGGTTTGTACAGCCTTTTGAGAGAGAAATTCAAGCAATTTTCAATGACTTACAAGCATTTCACACAACTGTTGTCAACACTTTAAAGCTCCAAAATGATCCAATTTGAATGTTATTTTCAATGGGATGAACAAAATATACTGTGGTGAACAAACGCTTATGTAAAATAAAAAAAAAACATCAAATCACCATTATAACCTGTAGATGGCAGCAGAGGAGCACTTATTGGCTTACTCATTAATTTATACGCTTTCCTTTATATTTTGAAATGATCAAATAACGATTATAAAATCACTAGGCTATTATAAAATATCAAATCAACAAGAAGTCAGATTTTGACAGGTTTTGCTGTAAGAAAAATCACAAAATGCTTTGAAAACAAACTTTTCTTCAATTTGCGACTAATTCACACATAATCACTGAAGTTGTTGGTCATTTCCGTACAAGACTATAGAATAATAATGGTACATTTAATAAGAGTACAATATATACCTTTTCTACATAAAAATTAGATTTTGCACATGTTAATGTTGTTAATAAAATAAATATTGTAAGCTTCCCAACTCAAGCTTAGTGCTTTACAGTCAAATGTGTATAAACATACAATAAACAAGATATAAACATGTAATATTATTAGTAACTGCACTTATTAATACAAAACAATAGTATTTTTTTTTCCATATCCCTCTGAAATTAAAAGAATACTGCACGTTGTAATTTCTATGAGTTAAGTCTATTTATTATCAAAGCATTTGTCAGTAATACAGTTCAAATGGGGAAAGTATGTGAATGATTGCATTGCAGGCTGATTTAAGGTGTGCCTTAAAATTTTCTGCTTGTGCTCCTGAAAATTTTCAGTCGGGCTGCAGTGCTCCTAGTAAAAATAGTTAGTCTGGAGGCCCCGAGTAATGATGCTAAAAATTCAGCATTGAAAACACAGTTACTTATTAATACAAAACAATAGTATTTTTTTTTCCATATCCCTCTGAAATTAAAAGAATACTGCACGTTGTAATTTCTATGAGTTAAGTCTATTTATTATCAAAGCATTTGTCAGTAATACAGTTCAAATGGGGAAAGTATGTGAATGATTGCATTGCAGGCTGATTTAAGGTGTGCCCCTAAATTTTCTGCTTGTGCTCCTGAAAATTTTCAGTCGGGCTGCAGTGCTCCTAGTAAAAATAGTTAGTCTGGAGCCCCCGAGTAATGATGCTAAAAATTCAGCATTGAAAACACAGTTCAGTAAATTACATTTTAAAATATATTCAAATAGAAAACAGTTATTTTGAATAGTAAAAATATTTCTAAATGTTACTGCTTTTGCTGTACTTCATCAAATAAATAAATGCAGGCTCGTTGAGCAGAAGAGAATTATAAAAAGAAATTTAAAAAAGTAGTATATAAAATATGCTTTCTCATGTTTACCCTGATGTACATGTATTCACATCCCCTATTGTTTTTTTTAATAGAAATAATGCAGTTTGATATGTCAGGGAGTTCAAAATGGAACAGATTGTAGATTGGTCAGAATAATAAAAATAATGTGATGATGTTGATAGTAATGAGCCGAAGTTTTTGTTAACACTGCAAGATATTTGTCCATGTGTGCTTGATCATGTAGTAATGGTTTTCTAGCTGCTTGAGGAAACAGAAGGCAGCTGAGGAGAAAGCCGAACTGAGCGCAGAGCTTGTTCATCTGACCCTCTGTATTTCCGCTCCTGCAGAGATTAACGGGCTGGTGCTGCTATGTAAAGTGTGTGGAGATGTTGCGTCAGGATTTCACTATGGCGTTCACGCTTGTGAGGGATGCAAGGTGAGAAAACGTCAAGTGTTAGTGTGAGCCGGCAGCCACATTTCAGTATTTTGTTATAAGAATTAGAGGTTTCATTTTGTTATTTCTGACGTACAGAGAAGTAAGTCAAAAGCTCAGAAAGTGGTCTGAAAGTTTGTATTTTTCACTCTCATGTATGCTCGGGGTTTCTTTACTTCCCAGTGAAGGTCGTATTGCACTTTTATAGTGTCTGTTTCTGTGTTAAACTGTCACTGGTGTCACTGTTGTTGAATTAGATGGGGCCAGTGGCTGTCATGCCACATCTGGGTCACATCTACCTGTACATCGTCCTGAAGGGACATGTCACTTTGCTTTATTTATAACTAAAAAGCCTCCTAGCCAGCAGCCTGTTTAACTATCAGAGCAAAGCTCCATGACAGAAGGGTGTCTTGAGTCCTTGACACCTGCTCTCCATACCGACCCGAGGCTCGACACCTGTTACTCTCGGTGTGGGCTCTGTGACCCTGACACCGCTCTCTGTCTCTTTCACTTTTGCACCTGCAGGGTTTCTTCAGGAGGAGCATTCAGCAGAACATTCAGTATAAGAAGTGCCTTAAGAACGAAAGCTGTTCCATCACGCGCATCAACAGGAACCGATGCCAGCAGTGCCGCTTTAAGAAGTGTCTGCTCGTGGGCATGTCCAGAGACGGTGAGCTCCAGCTGGCATTGTGTCCCAGATCCAAAAAATAATAAATAAAGCCTGTTATCTTGCATGAACATTTGAGCCAGATACATGTATAAGATGATAGATAGATAGATAGATAGACGATAGACGGACAGAAGATGGATAGACAGACAGACAGACAGACGATAGACAGACAGACGACAGACAGATAGATGACAGACGACAGACAGACAGACAGAAGATGGATAGACAGACAGACGATAGACAGACAGACAGACGATAGACAGACAAACAGATCGCAGAGCTCCAGCTGGCGTTGTGTCCCAGATCCAAAAAATAATAAATAAAGCTTGTTATCTTGCATGAACATTTGAGCCAGATACATGTATAAGATGATAGATAGATAGATAGATAGATAGACAGACAGACAGAATATAGATAGACAGACAGGCGATAGATAGACAGACAGACAGACAGACAGAAGATAGATAGACAGACAATATACAGACAGACAGAGAGACAGACAGACAGAATATAGATAGACAGACAGGCGATAGATAGACAGACAGACAGACAGGCGATAGATAGACAGACAGACAGAATATAGATAGACAGACAGACAGACAGAATATAGATAGATAGATAGACAGACAGACAGACAGACAGAAGATAGATAGACAGACAATATACAGACAGACAGAGAGACAGACAGACAGAATATAGATAGACAGAATATAGATAGACATACAGAATATAGACAGACAGAATATAGATAGACAGACAGACAGACAGACAGAATATAGATAGAGAGAATATAGACAGACAGACAGAAGAGAGACAGATGATACAGACAGAAGATAGATAGACAGACAGACAGACAGAGAGAAGATAGATAGACAGACAGACAGAATATAGACAGACAGACAGAAGATAGATAGAGAGAATATAGATAGACAGACAGAAGAGAGACAGACAGAAGATAGATAGACAGACAGACAGAAGAGAGACAGACAGACGATAGACAGACAGAAGATAGATAGATAGACAGACAGACAGAAGAGAGACAGACAGACAGACAGACAGATGATAGACAGACAGAAGATAGATAGGCAGACAGA